GCTTTGGTGAGACCCAGTCAAATGCCCCCAGCCTTCGTATTTGTTTGTCCTTGTCGCTTGACCCCAAGTCGCGACAGGGAGCTTACTGATCTAGGGACAAGAGGTCGAAACTGAGGTCCCTAGGGCAGCAGAGGCCGGCTTATATACAGGGGAAGATAAGGGCAGGCTGTGCGCATTGGTCCATGCGCAGCTGGTCCATGCACAGCATGCTGACGCAGCCCCGGGGGCTGGTGAGTCAGAGCGGCTGTGTCAGTGGAGCCCGAGCTGAAACATTTATCTTTCTGTTCTATCTCTTGTACTACTAGCGCCCATACTGGTGCCTGTCTTAGCGCTCACCCGCAGGTTGAACATTATGTAGCTTACATAATGGGGTCTGTGTGCACTTCGTGCCTGGTATCGTACCACTACGTTTCTTTCTTTACTAACACGACCACACAGATACAGTGGTCCGTGTGTAGCCGGTACTTGTATAACTAGTTGTACCATTAGTCGGTCGAACCCTAAGTTCGACCTAGTTATTCATTCAAGTCTCTGCTCCTCTTCACTTGGGGTAGTGGTCATTCTCGACTTCCTCGCTTGATCTTCAGGACAACGCACTGTCCATAAGTCCTCACTCATCATCTACGAGTCAGGCATCAATATAGGAGTATAGACCGTTGTATCAAAAGGTCGAACTTTCTAAGCTATGTTCCTAGTTTTACCTAGTCGAACATCTCATCCACCATTACATCGAACAACGCAGTCAACCTGGTTTCTTTGGGACTACCAGCCCTCGCAGGATCACCGCTCCTCCAGTACGACCGAGCAGATTGCTGCTTCGTCACCTCCACAAAAAGGGCCCCCATCTACCCTCGAGGCGGCACCTGGTGTCGTGCAACCGGTCCAAACCTGCAGGTCATCGCCCATCAAGAACTCATTAGCTACTACCAGAGACACCCACCCGCTCACCCAGAAGACGTATTCACCATCCTACGAATCAACGTCGAACCTACACAAACAGCAGAAAGCACGCAATCACCCACCAGCGAACAACCACTTGAACTCCCTGAAGTTCAGTACATCCCCATCAAGATCCCAGACATCAAACTACCACCAGCTCCACCCGCACCAACCAACACACTGGTTACAGTCCCTATGGCAACGTTCACTCAAGAAGACATCAATCAGCGCATCGCTGTCGCCCTTGCAGCATACCAATCCCAACAGTCAACGGCCAACTGACCCCTTCGCCTCGACATCCCTGCTCCCGAACCCTTCAGCGGAAAGGCAGAGGACCTCAGATGCTTCATCCAATGTGTCCTCTCCTACTTCGTTGCCACCAACAACACCCGACTCAGCGATGAAGCAAATATTGCCTTCACTGTAGCACTGATGAGGAAGGATCTGGGGAAGACATGGGTGGACGCGTATTACGAGAAGTCGGCAGGGGGAGTCCAGGTCTATTCCACGTGGACAAACTTCGTCGCCGCCCTAGAAGAGGTGTTCCCTGAGCACGGAACGCGAATCAAGGCACATCAAATCCTAATGAAACTGCCTGAACGACAGAAGGATAGGAAAACGGCACTCTCCCTCGGTAACTACGTCACCCGCTTCGAGCAGCTGGCATCGAAGGCTCAGCTCAAGGACACTGAGGTCAATGGCACCAACCGTGTCAAGAACGACTACCACACTCTCCATGCCAACTTCGTCAAAGGACTCCCAAAGGAGCTGTATTTTGCTCTCGCAACAAGGGTCACTAGGGATCAACCCAACACCATGAAGGCCTGGTGCGACGAAGTTCAAAACACCGATGCAGCCAAACAGGGGGCTCTCATCGTCACAGACACTAGGGACTATGGCGAACCAATGGATATCGACGCTGCTGCCGTCACATCAACCTTTGCCTCCACATCAGGAGGAAGGAAATGGGAACTAGGAGCTGTTCTCAACGAGGCCAATCGGAAGCTCCACAGGGATGGGAACCTGTGCTTCTACTGCCACATCAAGGGCCACAGTGCCAAGGACTGCTGCAAGAAAGTGGCTGCACGACAAGGGGGTGGGAGGCCGAACCAGGGAGGATCTGGGAAGGACGACTTCCGCGCCAGAATCAAGGCACTCTCTGCCGACGAGAAGCGGGAGCTGTATGAAGAACTCACGATGGAGGATTTTTGAAGGGGCAGGGTGAGCTGACGCAACCACTGCCCGTATCTGTTTCACTGTCCCGTGTAATTCTAGTAGTCCGAAATGAACGCGCTCTGCACATTCCGATTACTGTGGGATGAAAAGACGTCAAGGCGTGCACTTTTATCGATAGCGGTGCAACCGGAATCTTCATCAGCCCGAGATTTGTCTGAGAGCATCGACTTCGGACAGAACCTCTTCCCCGACCAATCCCCGTCTTCAACGTGGACGGAACTCCAAACAAAGAAGCACTTATCACACGAAGAGCTCTCTTATCTTACAAGATAAGCGGAGAACCCCGATTTGTCAAAGCCTATGTCGCCAGCATCGGCAAGGAAGACATCATCTTCGGCCATACCTGGCTCAAGCTCGAAAACCCCAAGATAGACTGGAAAACCGGACGAGTTGAGCTAAACCACTGGTGGACGAAAGACGAGACCAGGGCCTGGAAGATGGACCTGTACCAAAGGTGAGCGGCTCGGCTAGAACTGAAGAAGGCCATAACTACCCCACTCCCAGAACCAATGGAGGACGAATTCGTCATCATCTCCACCTCAGAGTATGCAACCCTCCCCGAACGAAAGACTAGCGGTGCAGCAGGATATGACATCTCTGCTGCGCATCAACTTGTCATCCCTGCCCGACGACGAGGCCTGGTCAGCACCGATCTTATCATGGCTATCCCCAAAGGACACTACGGAAGAATCGCACCTCGGTCCGGTCTAGCACTAAAGGAAATCGATGTCGCTGCAGGAGTAATCGACTCCGATTACCGAGGCAAGGTCTCAGTCCTGCTGGTCAACAACTCTGACCTCCCATTCACTGTCAAAGCCGGCGACCAAGTTGCTCAGCTCATCCTTGAAAGGATAAGCACCCCATCAGTAACACTAACTGACTGCATTGACAAAACGGAACACAGGGAGGATGGGTTTGGGTCAACAGGTATTGCGTCCATCGAAGAACAAGCGGAGGACATTGACGACAATGAGTTCATCATTTCCTACTTATCAGGAACACCGATGATCACCAAGTATGAGAAACAGAAATCCCTAGCAGTAAGGGACGTTCCGCTCAAGGAACGACTCCCTGAACTCTCGTCTGGCTACAAACGACTCCACAACGGCATGATCTGGAAGATCCACCACGACATTAGGCGAATCACAACATCCACCGAACTTGCAGCCTCGAACGCCCAAGGCAAGACAGAAAAAACGCTACCACAGATGATACCGTCCTACCTACACGATCTCCTCCCTGTCTTCGACAAAGGCACTGCTGCGCGACTTCTGGACCACACCGAATATGACCATGAAATCAACCTCAAGGAGGGCTTCGCGGACATGAAGCAACAGGTTTACCCACTCAACCCACAACAGTGAAAGGAGCTTGACAAGTTTCTCGAGGAGAACCTGAGTAAAGGGTACATTCGCCCTTCGAAATCCCCGTTGGTGAGTCCATTCTTCTTTGTTGGTAAAAAGGATGGTTCACTACGTCCCTGTCAAGACTACCGGCTGCTCAATGAAAACACGGTCAAGGATCGATACCCGCTCCCGCTTATATCGGACCTCCTTGACAAGTTGAAGCACACCAAGGTGTTCACGAAGATGGACCTCTGTGCCGGATACAACAATGTCTGAATCAAGAAAGGGGATGAATGGAAGGCAGCATTCATCGTACCCGGAACTGATGGCAAACCGCCGCAGCTGTACGAACCAACGGTGATGTTCTTTGGGCTGTGTAATTCCCCCGCTACATTCCAGTGGATGATGAACACAATATTCGCAGACATGCTCCAAGAAGGCTGGCTCTGCATCTACATGGACGACATCCTGATCTTTTCCCAGGACAAGGCAGAACACGAGGAACGAACACGACGTGTTATCGAACGACTTCGACAACACGATCTCTACCTCAAACTGGAGAAATGTGCCTTTGACGTCACCGAAGTCGAATTCCTCGGCATGATGATCCACCCAGGAGAAATCGCAATGGACCCTGTCAAACTAGCTGGCATTGCAGATTGGCCGGTGCCATCCAACCTCAGGCAAGTACGCGCCTTCATTGGATTTGGAAACTTTTACCGCCGGTTTATCAAAGGCTTCTCGGACAAAGCGCAACCGCTGGTCACTCTCACCCGGAAGGATGTCGCCTGTACCTGGGGATCTGACCAACAGAAAGCCTTCGAGACCCTCAAGAAGGTGTTCCTAGAAGCACCGGTACTACGCATGCTGGATCCCGACCAACCCTTCGCTATTGAAACTGACGCTTCCAAGTTTGCAATGGGAGCGGTACTATGCCAACATGACAACAACGGTGACTGGCACCCTTGCGGATACCTCTCTCAAAGCTTCAATGCAGCCGAGAGAAACTACGACATCTACGACAGAGAGTTATATGCAGTCATTCGCGCACTAGATGAGTGGAAGCACTACCTCATCGGCAGCCCATACCCAGTGACAATTCTCAGCGACCACAAGAACCTCACATATTGGAAACTAGCCAAAGACATGAACTGACGACAAGCACGCTGGGCGAGTAAACTGACCGAATTTGACTTCCGCCTGGTACACGTTCCTGGTACCCAAATGGTGCAGAGCGACGCTCTCTCCAGCCAACCTGACCATGACAATGGCTCTAATGACAACACCGACGTTGTTATGCTCCCACCGGAAGTATGGGTCACTGCCATCGACATCGACACCCACGACACCATCCTTTCCTTTAAGGACAACCCAATAATGAAGGAAGGCCTCACTGCGGCGCGCACTGGAGGAACACCATGCACTGGAACAGACTGGTCCATCGATGATGACCTCCTCTTATACCAGGATTGGGTCTATGTACCCCCAGATGAGTCTCTTCGCAAATGTCTTGTCTCCCACTATCACGACCTCCCCTCCGCAGGACACCCCGGTGTTCAGAAAACCCTCCTCGGCTTACGCCGTGACTACTGGT